TCCCGAAATTGTATTTAAATGAAAACTTAAAAAATATATACTAAAAAAAGTAAAAATAACAACTCGTGCTTATGTACTTGTGTATGTAACGTATATGCCGCGTATTATCATACATTCTAATATGAATACGGTGACCAGATTTCTGTGGCCAAAAATCGGGACATTTCTAAAGCATCGAATCCGAACATACAATTCTGTTTTTAGAATAAAAAGGCTGAATACAGTTGTATTTGATACAAAACAAAGAGAAAAAAATTTTAAATTTTTTATTATTTTGTTATGAAAATATAACTTACTATCTAAAAAAAACATGTAAATCAAATTTCAAAATTTGTAGAACATTTATAAATTTCGACGAATTTGAATAAATCCCCATCACGATTTTAAACATTTTAATCAGATTTTCTAGAATTGTTTTGTTGTATGCAGTTTTGAAGCCCATTAAATTTTAATATAATAAAGTACAAGTTGGAAGATGCTTTGATTTTGAGCAATTTTTTGTTCGCGTATTTTCTTCCATACACAGTATGTTCAACAATTTTTTTTGCATGGAGAAAATGAGCAACAGCTTCCACAAAATTTATCAAATATCAACGGCAAGTCCAAACTACTTATAATTTGAATTGAATCGGTTACAAAACTGCATACTCAGAATGTTTCTAAGAAATTTAATTAAAAAGCGATCAATTTTGTTTTGATGAAACTTTGTCGAATTTTGCTAATTTTTGTACAAAGTTTCAAATTCTGACTTACATTGTCTTTGTTAGATAACGAGCCACACTTAAAAAAAAAAAGGGATACCCAAAGAAAGCTAAAATGTCTCTTCCCTATTTATATTTTCGCCACTCTATCTACAGCTTATGTTTTTCATATACACGATATTTTTGAGGGTATTAGTATTATTTTTTATAATTTCATTAATTATATTATTGTAATATTAGCCAGTATATCTTTATGGCTAACTTGTATTATATGGACTTTGTGATAACGAAAGTGCTGCCTCGTTTGTACGAAAAATTTTTTTTCGGGCCAGAGTACAGGGAGAGTTTTAATAAATGAAAGAAAACGCTGAAAATCGGGACTTAATCGGTACAAATATGAAAAATCGGGACACTTATACGTCCCGACTTTTAAAAAATATTCAACGGGACAATTTTCTCAAAATCGGTACTGTGCCGCCAAAATCGGTACGAATGGTCACCGTAAATATGAATATTCTATTTGAAAACGTGTTAAAGTTATTAAAAAACTATTATGATTTTTTCGAGTGACTATAAAAAATGAGTAATTTCGGCAAGTTGCCGCCTAGCGTTTTAAGGCTAAAATTGTTCAAATGCTTGATTTCTTTTTTATTATGCTTCTTTCTGGAACCCTTGTGATTGAAATATATAGGTCATTCCATACAATATTTACACCTCAATATTTTTTTGGGGGTGAACTATTTTTGGGGTAGTTAAAGGAGCTTTTCGGCCGGTTTTTTTATTTCGTCATGATATTCGAAAATCTCGGAAAAAAATTCCCCGAAATTTTGAACTCACGGAGAAGTATCTTTTTTTAATTGTTCGCAGTTAATAAACTATAAGTTAAGGTATCAAATTGTGCGTAATTACCTCGGCTTTCCATGACAGTATGAGATAGATTTAAATAAAAAAAAAATTTGCATTAAAAAATAAAAAACGCGATTAATTATGCACATTTTGATACCTTCACTGATTTTCTCCGACAAACAGTTTATTAACTGCAAACAATTGAAAAAAGATACTTCTTCGAGATTTTCGAATATCATGACGAAATAAAAATTGTCCATTCAATGTGGGTATCAAACGAGAGGGTTTTAAGAAAGCTTTATTTCTAAAACATTTTTTGAGAGGGTTGCCATCTGTTTAGAAATTCTAAGTCAATTTAATTAACAAGTTAAATTGAGTTTTTAAAGGGGTATCAAAAGAGAGAAGTTTAAGAAAGCTTTATCTCTAACAAATTTTTTTTAGAGGGTTGCCGCTTGTTTAGAAATTCTAAGTCAATTTAATTAACAAAATAAATGAAATTTTTAAGTGGTGTTAAACGATTAAGATAGATTTATTTTCAAAATATTTTTGGATTTTTGAGAGACTTGTCACCTGTTACTAAATTCAAAATCAATTCAATTAAAAAATTAAATGAAATGTTTTTAAGGGTGTCAAACGAGGGAGATTGAAGTAAAACTTTGTCTCTAATATTTTTTTTTTTGATGAACCAAACTATAACAGTATTTGATAAAATTATACTCCTTAAGTGTTTCGTAGTGTTTAACAGAAAGGATGCGTCAATTAGTCGGTTTATTCTTCGAAAAATTGGAGTGGTAACTAAAAAAATCACTATGTACGAAAATGTGTTGTCTTAACATTTTTTCAATGTGAGGAACTATTATGATCGTACAAATCGATGTGATACTCTTTAAATTTCCATCTTTCAAACACGGTACGATCCAGATTTATTTCTGGCCAACGTCTTACACACTTCATCAGCACTTCTTAAAGCATTTTTGAAGGAATGTTTTAATAACAATAACAAGACGTCTTGAGTTGTTTGATGACACAAAAAATTCACAACCTAGTTTGACAAGAAATGACGGAAATTGGATCCAAAGCAAAACATAGAAGAGTTTTTGTTGATGGAAGTGTAGGCGATTTTGAAATACAAAAGCTACAAAAGTCGTGACGATGTATGAATCGGTTTAAGTTATTAGTACAGTCTCGAATATATTTCACGTTTCTAAGGATTTGCGTAGGTGCAGCTGAAGTAAGATATTGGTATGAATCTTAAAGCAACTCCATGTGTATGAGAAGCTTATGAGTATGTAGTATGTATGTATGTATGTATCTACATAGTTTAAAAATTTAAGATATAAACTTTCAACTTTTAATTGCCCAACTAAACACAGTTGAAAAAAAAATTATCATCAATATTAAAACTGTCGATAAAACCAAAAAAATTCAAAACACACGGAATATCAAATATACTCCCGAAACAAGGAACCAAATAAAGAAAAACTGCGTTTTTAGTTTTTCTTATTGACGCCTGGATTTTTTCAAAGAACTTTGAAATTCCAAGGCTATAGTTTATTCAAAAACTTATTTTCCAAAGGCGGACAACCTTCGCCAATATTAACAAAAAAAAATGTATGCACCAGGGCGAAAAAGCCGGAATAAAAAATGTATTTTAATTAAAATAATTTTTTGTATCCTAAACTAATAAGTTAGAAAGACCAAAGTTGAGGATGTGGCAGTGCAAATATTAGTACTTAGCATACATATATTTTTCAAAAAATAAATATTGGAAATTTTCAAGAATATTCAGGTTTAAGATTTTAAAGAGCACTTTCATTACATATTGGTCATTGTGTACCACAAAATAAATAAATAAATAAATAAAATTTAATGTTTTTCAATTCTGGCGAAGTTTTTCTTTTATTTGATATCCATATTTTTATTCTACATTGCATTTAATTTTTTTTTATCAATTATATCCTTGAAATTTCTCTAAAAAAATCCTGACGTTGGACAGAAAAACTAAACTAAATATGTACATATGTATGTGTTTATATTATTGATTTTTTGTGTGTAAAATTTGCTGTCGCGCGGTATAATCATTTACAATTAAACGCAGTGTTCAGTTTTGGAAAAGAATGCAACAAAATGCGCCTTTGGGGCGCACCTATGCAACAACCTACAAATTTCACGTATGTACTTAGAAATGCATTCACCTTCCGCCACTTGACAAGAAACAATTGGTGAGACAAGCAGGAAACATTGCACGTAGTTGTGGTGAAAATGCATAGATGTCACCAGCATATACCTCAATGACAATGGTGAGGTGAGATGATAATACAAGTGCCTAGTGCCTTCTTTTATTCTTTACCCTTCATCTTATTGACACAATCAAATGGACTTGAGCATAAAAACGTTTGGTAGGGAAAGTGAGAATGAAAGTGAAACTGAAATTAAAATACCTACATGAAATAAAAAAAATAAAGAAATTACGGTACATTTAAAAGAATAAATAGGTGGCGGTGGTGTCTGGCGATGGTATTTTACACAACAATGAGACAAACTGTATACCAAAGTGAATTTCAAGGAAATGAGAAGAAGTGTAATGGAAATAGGAAACACACAAGTTAAAAACAAATAAGAAACAAGGTGAACACATAAGAAACGTGACAGTTAAAGAGAGAGGGATATTGTAAAACATAGAAATTGTATTGTATAAATTTTGTTTAATTTTTTTTTTCTTTTTTTTTTTTGTTTGTTGGTAGTGTTTTTTTCTGCAACTTGCACTTTTACAATTGTGTTGTGTTTTGCTTATTTTTTTTTGAATATACGTTAAATAAACAATTTGCATTTGCAAATTGTATTTGTATTTGGTTTTTATGTGTAAGTATGTATATATAGTTTTTTTTTTGTTGTACTTAAATAAAAAGACATAAAAATATATACTCATATGCAAAAAAAATATGTAGTAAAGAGAGAGATAGGTTAAGTTTAAATTTAAAATATTATACGTATGTATATATTTATAAATAAATAGTAGTTATATATATTTTAATTTAAACCAAACGCAAAACAAATAAAAAATATTTTACATACATAAATAGTTTAGTTATAGCAGATATGTAAATTAGTTGGTAAATTGTGTGCGCATGATATGACATTCGGGTACTCACCAGCATAAATCGCTAAAAATATCGAGAGGAATGAAATGACGCTTGCCAAGAATTTTGCCTCCATTTTTGGTATTGATCCGTGGTTTGTACTTTTATGCTTAGTATTGTAATTATAACAATTGCGATTTTTACAATTTCTTTAAACTACTGTTGTTGTTGTTGTTGTTGCTTGGTTGGTTGTTTGTTTGCTGGCTTGATGATTGGTTAGTTGCTGTTGCTGCTGCTGGCGCTGCTGGTGTTGATGTTGCAGTTTTTTTTTCTCCTTTTTTGTTGTAATTTGCTTTGCTATTTTGTGAACTTGTTTGTTTGTTTGTTATAAAATATTGTTGCCACGTCTGTTGTTGTTGTTTAATTTCTATGTATTTTTGCTGCAATTACTGTAATTAACGTTTCAAATTTGGTTATTAGTTGTCGCGATTTGCTTCTTGCTCTTTGCTGTTAATGGCGCTAACGTAGGCGGTTGTAGCTTTTATAGGTAATATATGCACATGTATGTACGTGTATCTACGTATGTAGTATATATGTATGTACATACGTCTACATACAATACATATGTCGGTGCTATTAACTTTTCCTACTAGTATTTATTATAGATGGCTTGTAATTTTTTTTTTTTTTTTTTTGTGAATTTTCTCCAACTTTATCTTGCTGCGTTGCAAATATTTTTAAATTTTGAAATTTTCTTTTTGTTATTTTCTTTAGCCTTGAATGGATTAGCTCTTTTCAAATCGCCCTTTTTTGTGTTTTAATTTTGCGTTATCCCAACGTGGTTGTCCCGTAACATACATAGATGTATTTTATTTTTAATTATTATATTAAATTTACGTTTAATTTTCTATAATGAATCCAAAGTTGATCGTTGTCTTCGTCGTAGTCGTCGTCGCAGTTAAACGAGCTGCATCATTTTGTAAGGAAGAAAACGAAAAAAAAAAAAAACAAATAAAAAAATGTATATTTAATATTAACAAAGAAACGTTAATCGAATAGTGACGACAATGTCGACGACGACGTTGGCGCGGCCAGCAACAGCGGGAATCACGATGATCGGCCGAGATTTACAGGCATTTTGTGGCCAGCGACGATGACAGCGATGTCAGTGCGCCAACAAAAAAATTGGAAGAAAAAGAAATAAGAAGAGAGAAAAATTTATTTAGTTAGCACTTACGAGTATGTGCACTTTTTTTATTCGGAAATATTTTGTATATAAAAAAACGCGTTTTTATGGTTTTTAATTATTTTTTGATTGATGTTCAAGTGTGTGTATTTATGTTTATTTTGCAATAATTTGTTTAAATCATTTAAACCACTATATTTATAGGGGTTGTCATGGAGGGAGCAGAAAAAATTTCTAAAGCACGCGGATACCGTTATTGTTTTTTTCATAAATTAATTTATAATAATAATAATAGATTGGCGCTTACACATATGTTAGTGTTTGGCCGAGCTTAATTTATAGGCGACCGAAAAATTAAATTGAAGATGGCACCAATTCTGATAATGAATGACGGAAATACGTTCCAAAATACATATCGAGCCCTACCTAACCGCCAAAAAGACGTAAGCGACATTTTGTTAAAAATTTTATTTTTTACTGCATCAGAAAAAAATGTTGAAAAAACTCAGTTTGGCGGTTAGGACTCGATATCATCCCCTTTCCACGTATCTACATTTTTGCGAAAACTATTCGAATCATTAGGCCCTTTCAATATCAACAAATTTTTACGAACCGTTACTAGTACTTGCAAGTTTTTACTGGGAATGCATTCAATAACCCAACAAATTTGCGAAGGAGCGAATTCGAGAGCGTAACAACCCGAGAGAGCTATGAATTTTACTACAAATTCCTGCAGGAGACAAAAAGTAAGGTTATATATTTCAAATTCAAATGTAAACAAAGTTTTTAAGAGGATTATTTGATGAAACATAATTAGCGAAATGAAAATATGAATGAACAATTTAAATCTAATGTATATTTTTTTTATTTTTATGACGATGGGAACTATTCCCAATTAAAATAGAAATTGCGCGCCAAAACTTAACCGTCAGAAAGTGTCAAAATGGTGCCAATTTTGCTCTCTATTTTTCTTTTACGCTCTCGCTGCAAGTACTTATTGGCAAAGTTATTGAATGGACCTATTTACAACCAAATTTTCAGCATCATACTTCTTTAACATAAAAGAAAAACTTTAAGTGAGTGCTCGCTAGAACTCGAAACTCAAAAAATATGTCATTCAGATTTTGAAAGCTGAGTAAAAATGTCCAGATTTAGATATGTATGTAGGTGTAGAGATTTTCGACCCTTTGCAGTTTTATAGACTACCACTATATTTTGCAGACATTTTTTAAATGCTTGTTTAATCAGCTTTCCGGAGCGTGCATATAAATTCCCCCAAATGCTCCAAAATATGTTAAAACAGTTTTCGAAATTCCGACCATATATAATTTCCACATTTCTCACCGCCTCACGATAGAACTGTGCTACGGACCAGCGGCAGAAAGGAAGAATGCAAGGAATGATCGAAAAATAATAGAAAGAATCAATGTGAACAAGCCAGGCGCAGACACTATTTGTTGGCCATCAACCGTTGACCGCAAGTCACCTCAAAGTACGAAGCCAACGAATAAAAAAAAAAAAATTGCACGTTGTATGGAGCGGCGAGGAGGCGATTGCGCTCACTAGTGTCTACACATGTAAGTACTATTACACACGCACAGTTTGGTACAATTTGATTTCGACTACACAATTCACACTGATTTTGTGCATAAAATAGACTGATAATTTCTATTTTTTATTTTAAATGTTTACTCTTTTTTTATTAAATTTTTCTGTTTCCTTTTCTCTTGGAAGCACAAGTAAACGAGAACTGAGAACCGAGAACTTGGGCGCACCAGCAAATAAGCGAGTATATACAAAAAAGCAAGCGGGCACGACAACGGCGAGCACGATACTGACTGACTATGAGTGTTTTCACAAATAGAAAAACACTACACCACCCCGACGAGAACAAGGAATCGAAATCGAAATCAGCGGCAACGCCAACGGCGACGACAATGACAATTACGATGACCACCAGACAAAGAAATTAAGCAGAGTGTGTAAATTATCCACAACAATACAACAGCGGACGATAAAGCAGGAGAAATGGCGAAAATAATAGAACTATGTACTATCGATATATAGTAGACAAAAAAGAAAAAAAGTATTTTTTTTTTTTTTAACTGAACATTAACAGTGGAAGGCCGATAAACATGAAAAAAATGCAAAACACGGCGCGACGCGGTGACACCAACTAAAAGGCCAGACTGATAGCGACGATGGCGGTAGTGGTGGCGGCTAGGAGCACAACATTCGCGAACGACCACAAATGAACGACTAATCATGACCAAAGTAGCGAAAGCGTTATTCGCAAACAACCAGCAGGCAAGGCGGGCGTTAAGGCCACCACCAGCTTGAGAACATGCAAGCGATTATAGTGAGCAAGCGGAGCATTGTTAGGCAGAGCGTATAGACACGCGAGCAGCAAGTGAGCTAATCAGCAAAGAGTTACTACATACAGTGCTCATTGCTGATCGGCTACCGCTACATATCGCTTATGTATTTAATTCGATAGTGTCATAACTCAAAAAGCTAAACTCGAGAAAAACGGCTTTAAAGTTTTGAATTTATATATCGTTACCTTAATGTACATAGGCCCTAACCAACAAATCTTTTATTTTACAGGAGAAGCAAAAACGTTATAAAAAGAGTATCAAAAACAGGTAGCGCTTTTTAGAAAGTGGCATGTAACTCCGTTGATGTTGGTACTAACAATCTAAAATTTTTACTGAAGGTGTATTTTAATACAAAAATCTGTGAAAAATGCAGTTTCGAAAAAAAGTGTTGGTTATGGCCTTTGTGAATTAATTAACGATATACATACAGTTACGGTCAAAATAAGAGAATCAAGATTCAAAATGATGCTGTTGGCAACTTATATTTATTTATTTATTGTTAATAATTTTCATAAAATAAATAAATAAAAGTTTCAAAGCTTGTACAAATTTCAAAAAAATTAATCAAACTTAAAAAAATTATCATCAAAATTTCAAACTTGCAGTTTTGTAGCTCAATAAATTTTAGTATAATAAAGTGCTAGTTTCAAGTCGCTAAATAATACCGTTGATTATTTATATTTTTTTTTTGTGGAAGGTGTTGCGCATTTTCTTCCATATAAAAGTAAGTTTTGTTCATGCGTTACATGGAAGAAAACTCGCAACAGCCTCGACAAAAAAAATCTAAAAAATGCAAATTTAAAACTGATTTCCGAAAAGTGATTTAGGAGCTCGCACAAAGTTTTCCATGCATTTAATATGGTAAAAAAAAAAAAAAAAAATCGTACAAATGGTATAGAATTCTTGAAAATCACTATTTACCATTTTTTAATATTAACGTTTTTTATGGGTCACCCGATTGCATTTTTTTAGGTTTTAGGGGGATCTATAAGAATAGATAATATTCAAGAATTCTATACCATTTCTACGAAAAATTGTTTTTTTTTTTAGCATACAAAATGCATGAAAAGCTTTGAGCGTCCTCTAAATATTTTTTTTATTTCAAAATAAAAAAGGGGTATATCTTTTTCGGCAAACAATCCTAGGTGGTGAGAGCATTAAAATTCCGACTTTACTTATGTTGGATCACCCTAATGTACATATATACAAGCTTACAAGAACACTGTCGCCGACTGAAGATGCGATTCGCATCAGAAACTGGCGAAAATGCTTTAGAGAAGAGCAGTGCAGTATATACATTCGACGAAAATGTGTGATTCTAGTAATTTATCAGTCAGTAAATAGATTCCTTTCGAGCTGGCCCTACAAATTTATCTTTTCTTATCTTATGCCTTCAAGATAGAGTGGCTAGTTTTGTCATTATTTGCATAGCCGTTATCTCAGTCAACGTAATTATAAACGTAGTTATGTGAAAAAGTCGGGAAACAACACGGCGTATGAGGAACAAATAGCAAGTGATAATTTTATCATAGTAAATACAAGTAAAAAAACATTGCCGCATTCTGACGACTGACAGAAAGTATATATATTTTGATATAAAGCTGCATACTTAATAACATAAGCATGTACATATGAGCCGCTTTTCTTTAAAGTGGCATAAGTGGTAGTTTTAGTAAGACACAGATATTTCCTTTTTATACCTGTAATCATAAATTCAATGGAGGTCGATTTCTTGTTAAAGTCAACAGAAAGAAACTTAGCTATACAATTTTATCGGATTGCGTACAATCCAACGATGAACTGATTATAACGTTTTCAGCACATGGCGGTTTTGATGGCAATGAAAGAGTTGACGTTCTCGCAAAAAATGTGTCCTAACGGAACCTGTATGGTTCCCACCTTTCTGTTGTCCGTCAAAGGGATACACAGCGGAGCTCCAAAGGGACAAAACCAATATGTATAAGAAAGTTATAACAACCTTTAGAGAAATCTCCTTTAGAGGAATCTAAATTTAAGTCGAGGGGATCTTTGGATTTTTACAGGCTACCTGAAAGGTCTTCAGGTGCTGTGGCTGACACACATAATGCGATTTCCTTCGTATCATAGGTCAAAGGCTTTTACACTTCGGGGAGCGGTTGTCGTTTTCGATTTAAATTTGGAACACATTTGTACATATGTATATAGGTCGATGTTATCCCTTAAAATATTAACAACAAAAGTTTGTTACTTAAGGGTAATCATTCCATTTTATTTTTTTTTCGTCTTCAACAATTTTATTAGGCTTAAGGTCGTTTTTAATGTGGAAAATCAATATTTTACAAAATAATTTTTCATTAAAATTAAATAAAATTGTTGAATATGATTTGTTATTATGCCAATAAATGGCAAAGACAAGCAAGAAAATTGCCATAAATCAACGCGCTTTTTAGAGGAGTCTAACTAAACCTTTACTCTATTAAAAATTAATAGCCTCCAAAACTAGATTTTCAAGATTTTTTTTTTTAAATCTGATTACAAATTTGCAAATTTATTGACTTTTCCAAAGTTTTGTACACAGTTTAGAAATTTTATTTTCTTGATTGTGTTGGCATAACAAAAATGAAAATAGTGGAAAAAAGCAAACGATAATTTACAAGGCGTACCTAGCACGGTGCATAGGCAACTGGCTGAGTCAGTGGGATCGTCGGTTCGAAGCCTACTGAAAGAAGTCTGATGAGGAAATGTGGTGATTTCCGAAATAGCTATCACTTCTACCATTTTTTCAAATTATTGTAGCTTTTCCACAATAAATTTTCATTCAAAAACGGCCTCGAGCTCAATAAAAATTGTTTAATTTAATTAAAAAATGTATTTTAGTAAAGCCAAAGTCTAAAAACTGAGGACTTAAATTTCGTCTTCATTTTTTATAATTCCATAGAAATTTCTGTGGTTTAGTTTAAATAATGATTTAAATATAGTTTAAAATGGAATGGAGAAGTTAAAAGCCCTTAGAGAGTTATAAATCATCACCCACATTGATTAACGTTTGCCAATATTTTTAAATTAATAAAGACGCAAACTAAATATGTAATGAACTTGTACCCCTTTCAAAAAAACAGCTCATATGTACATATGTAGATACCGTCATGTGTACATGAGCTAGAAAGTAATCGACCGAAAAGTCTACTAAAAAAAGTATGAAAGCAAAGCCCCACCTTCAAGTATGTAGACTTTAAACCACATGGAGAAGCACACAGGCATGCAATAATACACCACCAAATGATGATGCTGGCGACAATTTTCGGCATTGGCAGACTTTAATTTAATGTGTGATTGTTTTCTTTTGGCCAATGACGCCAATCCGAAAACAATACACATTTGCATTTGCTTACTGCTTTAATTGTATGTGCGTACTGGCTTTGGAATTTTAAAGGGATATATCGTAACCTTCACTTATGTATGTATGTATGTACAAAGAGTCAAATCTATCACTTTTAAATATTTGTTAAATAAAAATTAATTTAATTTAATCGTGAATATCTTAAAACCCTGATTTTTATTGATCCTGCAGTGGTTTTAAGATGCTATTAAGTTTTAGTGGGTTAGGACCTTTCCATATTAATGTAACGGTAACCATACATAAGTGTACATAGTTACAAGTAGATAGAACCTATGCAGAAATATCCCTTTGTATAAATGCGCACTATACGAAGCACGCTTTTATAACTTTATTGTGACTTCACATTCCTCTTTCCAAGAGTGTGTATGTGTGTTTATGCGTGACTATGGTGCCATTTTAGTAATTAAGGTAATACCATATCTCCAACTTGCAGTCATGGACAGCTAACAGCTACAACACAACAATACTGGCGTTGAATTGGCGTCCACCCGGCAAGACAGGTACTTGAAAAGAACAATAACGGGACATATGATGTTACTTCCATTAAATTCTGATACTGGCGGTCATTCAGGGAACATTTTTGTCAAAGAAGGACTTTCCTCTCTAGTTTACAAACGAATGAAATAACCAAAGAAAATGCAAGCCGCTAAGCTGCACGAAAGAACTCGCAACTCTGAACTATCACAGCTGTTTTGCGAACAATATCCCTATATCACTATGTACAGCATTAAGTTCTCAAATATCGCATATTACATCAAATTTCTACATCAGATTAAAAGTAACATTTAGTAAACAATCTTACCAAAATCTATAAAAAAATGTTCAACACAAATTCTCTTTTTTTGTACTTTTATCAAAAAACAAAAAAAATCGATTTCAAATACACACACTATATGTACGTACATACATATGTACATAAGTACATACATACATAAGAGCGCATGAATTTCCGTTTTACAGCCAAATTTCCTGCTGGCTCCTAAAAGTATGCTTCAATATCCTGTCCAAAAGATATTTGCACTAGAACATAATTCAATTTCAAACACTTTTTTGAGCTCGATTTAAAAAATCATCAGAGCGACGAAAGTGATGATGACCAAACTCCAAAACACTGACTAATAGCAACAACACACTCATGTATATGCACATATGTACATAGATATGTATGTAAATATACTACCGACATATGCGCCAATATTCTTATTCGGCACACTACACACTGCTCTATGACTGCTGAGTACGAGATGGATGACGTTATTTTTGCTGGACACGAGTGTAAACTACTGACGACAACGCGATTAGGGCGAAGAACGAGATGAAACAATAAACGATGAGGTTAGCTGTTCGCTACTTGGCACTTTGGCATAGCTTAACCAATGTAATGTTGTGGTATTGCAATAGTTGTACAAAAGCTATTAATTCCACTAGCTGAAATGAAGGAAACTCAGTCAGCCTCAAACAATGTTATGCATTCTCTATGAATGTACCAGTGTTTGTATGTTGATACATACATTTTTGCATATACATATAAGTATGTATGTATGTACATACAAACATTCTAAGACTTTTGTATTCTTGCAAACATGCTAGCAATGCATTCCAATATAAAAGTTCAGTACAATTGTAGAAGCATATGCAAGCGCCGCAAAATGACAGCATTAGTGGGTGAGGCGATGACGGATGCCAATATGTCGGTATGTACTAAATTATTGTCAGCCTGTTTTAATAGTGTTTGCATGGTGTCATTGATATGTATTGGTGCCGAGTAGTATGTGCATGCCAGCGTATTACTAAGCGGTGAATCGAATCATACGTCCATATAACCGCAAATCGTCCATTGACCAAATATACGTGACACTGGCTTGCATTTAATAGTTTAATTTGTTTCTTCTTTTTGATAGTGTTTTTTTTTTGGAGAACAGAAAATTTAAATGCGAGCAGCTATCTGTACGCTAGACACACAGACAAAAACAAAAATAGAATTGAGGTGCTCCGGGCTAGTTGACGGACGTAGCGGTTTGCACAGACCCATGGCGGTCATTTGGCCAGCATGGGAGCACCCAAAAATTTGTAGATCGGCTCCACTTTACTTTTCACCTGCCATGCCTGCTGATTGTCGAGAAAATAGCAATTATACACACATAAACGAACTCTCATTTTTACCTTACGGGATATTCCCATTTCTCATTTATGCAATAATCGCGCAACAACAACTACAACTGAGCTAAGAACAAACACACCAAATGTATTTTTCTTTCGAAGGAAAATGGCACAAACCCCACGACGAAAACGAAAAATGATGAGACACGAGAACGGGAAAAAAGTTCCTCCGATGGCCACGGACGGCAATGACGAAATTCTTGCTGCTCCCTTATGTTTGCCTACTTTAGCAGAATTTCTGCTTTGTGATGGTATTTTTCGTAGTATGGCTTTTGTGCAGGTGTATGAGTATTAGAATGTATAGTGCGGGCTGTGGTGGTGGGAAGGAGTTGCAGAGTGGTAGAGGATCTTCTCTGTGAATTTTCGCTTTTGATGTTCTTGCTCCATATAAAATTTTTACTTAGTTAATTGCTCATTTTAACGTTTTTTCATCGACTTTTTAATGCTTTCACCTTATGCTATTTCTTTTTTTCACGAGTGCTTCCTTCCTTTCACGTTCCTCTTCTTCTATCCACGACCAATTCCAATTCACTTCGCCTTTTGCCTTTGCCTTTTCACTATTCGATTTTTTCTCGACAGGAATTTTTTTCACACTTTTTTCTTAAACTCATCACTGCACTCTTATTATCCCGCAGATGTTCAAAATTATTGCATTATGGCAAACGATTCCTCGTCGATACTCCTCGCACTATATAATTATTTAATGAATTTACCTATGCACAGAATACAGAATTTATTTTCTTCTACTCTTCCATTGATGATGAATTTTTCACTTCGCTCGCACTTCAGCTGCGAGTGACCTTAGAAACAAGCGCAGGGTTGCAATTTAGTCGCTGTCATCGGCAACCCACGTTGAACTAAAACGGAATGGTTGGATTTTTCGAAACGAATACCAAAGAACGTAAATCGTTAACTGCCGTCCCTAAATTGGAGCGCTAAGCGTTGCGTATTCCATTGTAAACGACTTTCAGCGCACGCTATCCCCAAATCAGCGCGTTTTCTCATTTCATCTCGTTTCCTCTTTCACTTTTTTGTCCTTTCTCTTTCTTTCCGCCTTTTGAAACCAACTTCAACAGTAACGCCCTGTCAAAAATTAAAATTCCTTTTGCTCGGCCTTAGCGCGGCGTTATTGTAGGACTTATTGTACAACTTGTATGGGCATAAGGATTTTTGACAGTTGTTTGGCGATTGACGTGCTAATTTAAGGCCGGCAGTAAAGGGCGGTTTACATACGACTTTAGCTTCGCTTTGCTTCAGAGTTTCGCTTTGACAGATAAGTTCATACATTATGTAATATTAGCAAAGCAAAGCAAAATCATGGGTACTTCCCATCTCTTGCGCGCTTTGGCAATCAGCTGTTTACATGTGTCTTTTCTCGCGCGCTTGCATTTGCATTTGAATACAAAAGTAGATAAATATGAATTGTTCTTGCTAGCATTAATGCATATTACTATATTGTTATCTATTTTACATAGATAAAGGATAGAGGAAAAGGAGAACGCAGAAGCCGTCAAAGCTTTTATTGTAGCATACCTTCTACGCTTCATGATTCGTTGTCAAAGTTCGAAATTTCTAGCAAAGAGAGGAAAGTCGTATGTAAACGGCCCTTAAGTTGTCCCGACCAACTCGCTGAAGTGTGGCGAGTGAGTCTAGCAGATTTGCAAGAGGAATTCGCGTTCGTTTTGACATCAAGTTTCGTAAATGAGTTCGTCGCGCATTTGGGTTTGCGGCCACAAAGAACGTTGAGTTGAGAAAAAGTGATCGATGATAGTGTGGCGAATACTTTGGCAACGCGAAGCGAACAAGAAGAAAATGGCAGAATGTTCGAGGAATGACGTAGAATATTCGACAACGAGAAACGTCATGTGCAAGGCGAATTTATACAAGGTTTTCGCCGCAGTCATTCTGAATGTCAAAATGATGTGTTTGTTGTAAAAAAGGCGAATTCAAATTACGACAAACACAAAATTTTTACCAAGGCGAATTTATACAAGGTGGTGTTACTGGCTAATTTAGATTTTCGCCGCGGTACTGCTGAATATCAAAGTGACGTGTTTGTTGTAAACAAGGCGAATTCATATTACAACAAACACATCATTTTGACATTCAGAAGGACCACGGCAAAAATCTAAATTCGCCAGTA